TGTTGGAATCTCACTCTGTCACCCAGACTGGAGTACAGTGGCCGCTCCGGACAACTGCAGCCTCCTGCTGGGCTTCAGGGATCCTTCCACCTCAGTCTTCCAAGTAGCTGGAACAATAATCTAGTGTTTACATGGAAAGGTTGATATTGATCAGCTGGGCTATAGATTGTGGGTGCTTCTCAAATATGGTGTCAGAATGTGTTGACTCTATTTTCTGAGAACCAAAGATTGTCCTCTTTCGTTTTTAGATCCCATAACCTTTACCTCCCTAGTATACTGTCTGTAGTTTTAAAGCATTTCAGATGCTATAAAAAATGTTAATTTTTTACTCAATAGACACAAACCTGTCATTCATAATATGCCCTCATTTTCTTCAGTACTCCATGTCAGGATGACAAAAACCAGTCAAAAGACATCTTCACAAAAATCCAAATCTTTGAAAACTTGATCCATTTTTCTAGCTCTCTCCAGAAAGAGACATGGAGCATTGAGAGTTTTTTCCTAAGCCCACTGTGCTGTTCTAGGGAGGAGGGCAATGTGTACTAGACAGTCTGCCAGTCATGTCTGGTCACCTTTCTGGAGAAAAGCAGGGTCCTGGAATATAACGGAAGCAAAGACGAAAGTCATTCACTCATATAGATGGGCATACTTGTGACAGTGACATAGATGAGAGATCCAAATGGCCTAAGGGAGCCAGACTTTAAAATGTGGATTGGGAAGCTCTGCTCCAGTGAGAATAATTTTGAGAAGCCTAGGTTTCTATTGCTGACACAAAGCGACATCTTTTGTTTACCCTTATGCTCTTCAATCCTACATCATGGTTTTTCTTTTCAGTGCACTTGCAGCACATTCAGAGTGAAAACCAAGGTTCTCATGTCTTGTGAGGGACTTCATGATCTGACTGCTCATCCATTGCTTTGGGGGTTTGGGGAAAATTTGGGTATATTTCTGGGGAATCCTCTTTTAAGCCTTTTTTTTTTTTGAGTTGTAGTCTCACTCTGACCCAGACTGGGGTGCAGTGGCATGCTCCTGGCCACTGCAGCCTCAACTTGCTGGGCTCTGGCAATCCTCTGCCTCAGCCTTGCAAGTAGCTGGAACTACAGTCACACGCTACCATGCCCGGCTAATTTTTTTGATTCATTGTAGAGATGAGGTCACTCACCTCAGCCTCCCAAGCATGGGATTACAGGCTGAGCCACCAAGCCCAACTTAAGTCATTTTTAAAAGATCTGTTTATGTCTCATGACAAGTGTATAAGGGTAGTAGTGGTGCTGTTGGGAATTGGTTCAGAAACTTCACGAACACAAGATACAGATAAGTCATGTTTTCTGCATTATAATACCAGTTTTATGGAGGTTTCCAAACATAATGCTAAAGGACTTTGAATAAGTCATTTTATCAGGGCACAAAGCATTTTATTAAATTTTTGACAATGTATTTTTATGTTACATTTTTTATTACCATAAACTAACCGTATAAATTTTTTTCTTTTTTGTTTTTGTTTGTTTTGTTTTGAGTTGGAGTCTCACTCTATCACCCAACTGGAGTGCAGGGGCACACTCCCGGCCATTACAGACTTGACCCACTGGGTTCCAGCAATCCTTTCACCTCAGCCTTCCAAGCAGCCAGAACTACAGGCGCACACTATCACGCCACGCCAATTTTTATTTGTAGAGATGAGGTCTTTCCAAGTTGCCCGGGCAGGTCTTGAACCCACAGGCTCAGGCAGTGCACTCATGTCACCCTCCCAAAGCACTGGGATTACAGACTGAGCCACTGAGCCCAGTCTAAGCTTAGAAATTTAACATTTATTTGCTTACATGTGTCTTCTAGAAAATAGAATCTATTTACCTCACAGTATTCCTAAAGAAACTAATGTTGTAGGTAAACTAAAACTTTGCCAAGCTACAGTAAGATATTTGTTACCTTTTGTCCTTATGACTATCATTTTATAATTTTTGCTCTATTGATTTATAGATACCAGAACTAAGTTATGTACTTTTAGCTTTTAATTTGAAGTATATTAGTTTACACATAATTTCAGTTTAAAACGTTCTAAAATAACATGCTTGAATTTATATATCATTTAAGAGCTGAGTTACTTAGTAAGCCTTCCACTTTCGCTTAAATATTTTTTTGTTTATTGCACATGAAAAGTATAATTAGCATTTCCTTTCACGTCACTCAACTTGCATGTGAAGAATAATATGTATTTCCAATGATTTATTTTATACATGTGTTTCATACCATGTTTTACCATATTCAAATTGCCTCCAGTATTTATAAATGTAAGGTTTTTCTTTATCTCCAAAGACTAAATTACCATTTTCCCTTTTGTGCATAAATAGCAGCAGCATATTTATCACATAGTAAAGAAGATTCAGTAGTATAATTTAAATGCTTAGTAATAGCCAGGTTGCAGTGACACACACCTATAATCCCAGCACTTTGGGAGGCTGAGTTGAGAGGATTGCCTGAGCCCATGAGTTCCAGATAAGCCTGGGTGAGTTAGTGAGACCTCATCCTTACAATAAATTAACCAGGCAAGGTGGTGTGTTCCTGTAGTTACAGATACTTGGAAGGCTGAGGTGGAAGGTGTTAGGGTTTGGAGGGTGAAGTGCTGGAGAGAAAACTTGAGGGGGGAGAGGTGTAGCACTGCTAGAGCCAGCAAGCCAGAGGTGCAGTGCTGGGAACCCAGAGATCCAAGTAAATGCAAAGAATTGTAACACACAGAAGTGAGAGAAGAAAAGATTTATTTAAGAAAAGTTCACCCCCCTCAGACAGGGAGTGGGCCTATGCTCTAGGTGGGTGTGGCCCCCTCATAGACCCCTAAAGCCCTGGCTTAAATCTTTTTCTTGTAGATGTTGTATGAGACTGCTGTGACTTCTTTATCGACCACCTGTGGATGTCTTGGAGATCCTGTGACACGGGGACACATTAATGTCTGCCCACATTATCATAGCCCCTAGAGAAGGGCATGACAAGGATTATAATTCTCCTGCACCTTCCCAAATGACATTCCTTAGAGCTAATGGAAGGTGCACCTCCCCTTATCTCCTAGGCATTCCCAGTGTGTAGTTTTGGGAGATTTTTGGCTTCCCTGTAGATAGTGCCCACTTTACTGGAAGATTGAATCCCTACCTGCTCTCCCTCTGATCAGTTATAACTTTTGTAATTACAAGTTTCATGACTTTTTAGTCCTTATCCAATGCATGATGTCTTAGGCCTTGTAAACTCCCTTTACTCTGTGCAAGCTTGATTGAGATACCCCTGATGCCTGGCAGCAGGAAGTCTGTTCCTGAAAAAACAAAGGTTGCAAAGTTAATTTTACTTAAAGAGAAAGCATAGCTTATACTTTCTCATCATTGTGTTAAGGTTTAGGAACAAGATGGAAAATGGCTTCCCACTCTCTATGTGTCTTTTCAGAAGGGTCACCTAAACAACAGGTTGTGACTGTGGTGGCTCAGCCTGTAATCCCAGCACTTTGACAGTCAAGACTAGAGGATTGCCTGAGACCGCTGGTTCGAGACCACCCTGGGCAACTTTGGGAGACCTTGTCTTTACAATAAATCACTAAAACTAGCCAGACATCATGGCCTGTGTTTGCATTTCCAGCTATTTGGAAGGCTGAGTCAGATCACCTAAACCCAGCAGGTGAAGACTGTGGTGACTGTGAACATGCCATTACACTAGCCTGGGTGACAAGAGTGAGACTCAAATTCAAAAAAAAGGGAAAATATGACTCTTTAAAATTAAATGTATTTTATGAATCTGAGTCTCACTCCGTCACCCTGGCAGGAATGAAGTGGCACCATCACAGCTTATCACAACCTTGACTTGCACTCAATGGATTCTTCCATCTCAGACTCCAAGGAGCTAGAACTACAAGCATGTGTGATCACTCTCAGCTAAATTCTTTCAGCTTTTATAGCTACATGAATGTGTTGTGCTATCCAGGTTGGTCTCAAATCCCTGGGCTCAAGCAATCCTCTCCACTGTCTCTCCCCTCACCCCTGACCTGAATTTTAAAAAAGCACACACAATCCAAAAGGGGTCTTTAGGACACAGTCCCATCAACATCTTGGTTTTAATGGCTCTCCCAAATATTCCCACAGTCCCTGTTCCAACTCGCTGTCTTGACTTTGGCAGTCCCGCCAAGCAGAATGAGGCTTGCACCTGGTGACATACCCTAGGGTTATCCACCTTGATACTCCATATTATGCAACTGCCTGGCTGTAACCAATGACCACCAGGGCTTCCTCCTGCCCTTCTCAAAACCTTTCCTCCCAGGCCTTCCAGGGACCCCACACCACAAGCCCTGACTGGGGCTTAGGGATTCACAATCCACTGTTGGCCCAAGGAGACTCCTTAGCGCTGCGGTGGAGGCAGGAGAGAGGGACAGGGCCAGGACAACAGCCTCTCCTGGTCCCACACATCCAGAGAGCGTGATTGCCTGGAGTAGCTTCTGCTCAGCGAGGTTGCTGGGGTCAGGACTCTGGGGACTGCCTAACCCCACCCTGAGCCAATGCAGCACCTTCATCAGGGTCCATTCTCTCTCCCCTTCTCACGCCCATCCCCTGAAGTCCTCCCTATGAACTCCCAGGACAAGGAGGTCACAGGGCAACAAAGGCTGAAGTAAAGACTTGCAGTTCTTGGAGATGACTCGGGATTTCCACTGATGCCAGATAAAAAAAAAACAATCAGTAGCCGAAGGCAGCCTCCTCACTTCCAGCAACTTCCTAATTGGACAGTTTCCACATTACCATCCATTGATTTAATAAGGCTCCAGGTCCCCCCTCTGATCTTGAGTTACAGGAGATGCGTTCAAACAGGGCTGCAGGATGCAAGAAAAACACATGTCTGCTGATACCTACCAAGAAGGAATTATGATCGGAGAAAAGGTATGTAAGAAAAGGCTTTCATTTCATTTCACAGAGATCTGAAGATTTGGCTTTTTTTTTCAGTATATATTTCTTTTGTATTAGGAAAACAAAAAAAGTGTTATGTTTTGGTAGAAAGGCAACATTTTTTAAATTCAGTTTTTGCATTGTCAGGTGAATGCTGTGGCTGCTATGCTGGCCTCTTGAAAAATTTTCTATTGTCTGATAGTATACAACACAAACCTGTAAGAGAAAATCCAAGATGAATAATTAGGAGAAAAAAAGTACAGCTGCAAAAACAGAGCTATCTAAACGTGATATTCCAGGTGAAGACTGATCCAGATCTACCACTGCACGAGCTCCCTCAGAAAACATAACCTCAGCCAAGGGTAAGACAAAGGACAGGGAAGGCCAAGGGCCAACTAGTTCCTTTCTCCAATGATTTCCAATTTCTATATCATCAAGTAGAAAATAGACTTTAAATGGGTCATGCACCCTTACGGATGTGAATAGAGAGACACAAAATACAATATGAGAGAACTGTAAACATATATATTTTAAATTATTTTTTAGTTGGAGTCTCACTCCATCACGCAGGCTGGAGTGCAGGGGCACTCTCACAACCACCCCAGCATCGACTTGCTGTGTTCTGGGAATCCTTCCTCTTCAGCCTTCTAAGTAGCTGGAACTACAGGCACACTACCACACCTGGCTAGTTTTTTATTATAGAGATGAGGTATCACCAAGTTTCCCGGGCTGGTGTTGAACCAGTGGGCTCAGGAAGTCTACTCGCCTCGACTTCCCAAAATGCTGGGATTACAGGCTGAGCCACCGAGTCCAGCCAGTTTTTAATTTTTATTTTAAAGATGTGGGATACAATTCAGGGCTAGGTTTACAAGTGTTAATTATGCAGCTAGAAGTGTACGCATCATAGAGGAAGACTTCAAGGTAAACATTTAGAATACATCGAGACACTTATGTGACATTAATGAAGGTACTTAACCTGTCTGAGTGCCCCTTTTCTCACTTGTAAAATGGGGATCACAGGCCTACTTCATCAAAATATTAAAAACAGTGTAATATTGCCATGCAGCTTACTTTCAGAAAACTGGAACAAACCTGGAATCCAGCTACTCCAGAGAATGGGTAAGCAGAGGAGAGTCAGAGACACAAAATATAAGTGAAAGACACCAAACCCCAAGGAGTACCTGGCTCTGTAAATAGCAGCTGTGGTGGCACCAGGTCCAAACTTCTTAGGCAGCCACTGTGGAGACTTAGAGCACAGTGTCTTTGAGGTCACATGGCCAACAACAGTGCATCTGAACAGAGACACAAAAGTCCCCTTTCCACAAATCCCCACTTAATGATGGACTGTCCTGTTACACTGTCTTTCTCTAAGACCTCTGGAGAAGTGTAATCTGAAATCATTATGTAAAGAGGAATCAGGGAGTAGAATGAGAATACAGAGGAAGGTATGAGAGATGCATGCACTTGACCACATATAATGTCCCCACAAACCCTATTTAAAACTGGAAGACTCAAACCTGTAATCCCAGCACCTTGGGAGGCTGAGTTGAGAGGATTGCCTGGGCTCAGATGTTTGATACCACCCTGGGCAACTTGGTGAGACCTAGTCTCTACAGTAAATCAAAGAACATTAGCCAGGTATGGTAGTGTGCACCTATAGTTCCATCTACTTTGAATCCTGAGGTGGAAGAATTGCCTGAGTTTGAGTCTGCAGTGGACAAAAGCATGCCACCTCACTCAAGCCTGGGCAACAGGATGAGATTTCAAATAAAAAATAAAGTAGGAAGAACGCTAGTGTTAACCTGTGGTCTCCTTAGAATTCCTCAACTTGTCATTTCCATAAGTGTTCACTTTTTTTTTTTTTGAGTTGGAGTCTCACTCAGACTCCCAGACTGGAGTGCAGTGGCTGCTCCCGGCCACCACAGCCTTGACCTGCTGGGCTCCGGTGATCCTTCCACCTCAGCCTTCTGAGTAGCTGGAACTACAGGTGTGCACTACCACACCCGGCTCATTTTGATTTATTGTAGAGATGAGGTCTCACCAAGTTGCCCAGGTGGGTCTTGAACCCGCGGGCTCAGGCAAACCACTCACCTCAGCCTCCCAAAGGTGCGGGATTACAGGCTGAGCCACTGAGCCCGGCTAATGTTCACATTTTCTTCTGTATTAACAAAGAAGCTGATGAGCTCACATGTGTATTTAATCCGTGAGGTGTACATTTTCTCTAAGTACTGGTCAGGCCTTCATTATTTCATTCTATCTCATATTTGGGAATCATTAAAAAAACACCCTTGGAACATGTGAATTGAAATATATCTTGTAATCCCAGCAATTTGGGAGGCTGAGGCGAGTGGATTGCCTAAGTTTGAGACCCACCCGGGCCACTTGGCAAGACCTTGTCTCTACAATAAATCAAAAATTAGCTGGGTGTGGTAGCACACACCTGTAGTTTTTGCTACTTGGAAGACTGAGACAGAAGGATCGCCAGAGCCCAGCAGCTTGAGGGTGCCATGGCCGGGAGCGTGCCACAGCACTCCAGACTGGACAGTGGAATGAGACTCCAATTCAAAAAAAGGAAAAAATATGTCACTAACAGTCGAGTTTTATGCCATAGATATAGCAACATGAATGCTGCTTCGTCGGGGAAAAAAAAGAATTGCCTCTGAGGTCATGGGAATTTAGAGTCATCAATTATTAGGAGGCTACAGGGAAGCAGAAGTGTTCTCAGTTTTCCACTGGCTAGACCGATAAATTTCTCAGATGGACCCTAGTAAGGTACGCACATCCCTCAACACTGTGGGTGATAAGACTTTCATTCGAAGCAGAGATGCAAATTGGTGAGTTTCCAACTTCCCCTAAGTGCCTCTCACTTTGAATGTCATTGCCCCAAAGCTGGATCACCATCTGTTCCTGAGGGATCAGGTCACCCTCTGTGTCTCCTTGACATTGTCCAGTCAGGGCACAGTTGAGATGAGCCCAATGAGTACGTGTAAAATGTGTGAGCCACCATCAGCTTCAGGTTGACTTCACATCCACTGAAATGAGTTGGTAAAAATGGTCCACTAGGTCAGGTGCTGCTAGGTTCGTGACCCTGGGGGCAGGGAGCTCTCAAGATTCTAGGGTTCCCTGCATGCCCTGTGACTCACGAGTCAGCCAGCTCCTCCCACCTACAATGCCAGTGCAGGGAGAAATCTTAACTTTTTCTTGCCTCATAGAGGCATCATTTGATCACATCGCTTGTCACTCAATACCAGAGAGGTGGGCCCTGGAGCCTCATGCAATAAATGAGCATTATGTTCTCAAATGGCCAATCAGGAGTTGGAAATAAGGGGGCAGGTCTTCATCTCCTGTGCCTGATCACAGAGCTGGGTCTTCCCCGCTGGACTGTCCTGTTATCTGGGAGCTTCTGGTAAATTACAAAGTATGAATATATTTATTTATTTTGAGTCGGAGTCTCTCTGTTACCCAGGTTGGACTGCAGAGGGATACGCACAGCCACCACAGCCACAGCCTGTTGAACTCAGGTGATCGTTCTACCTCAGCCTTCTAAGTAGCTAGAAATACAGGCATGCACCACCATGCTTGTGTCATTTTTCTTAATTTATTGTAAAGAGAGGTCTGGCCAACGTGCCCAGGTTTGTTTCAAAATCCTGGGCTCAGACAATGCTCTTGCCTCTGTCTCCCAAAGTCCTGGGATTACTGCATAAGATATGGGCCTAACTTGAAGTATGAATTTCTATAGGATCACATTTGAAACCTCCCTAGGTAAGGAAATCATAAAGCAGAAAACTTAAAATATCTGCTCACAGTGTTCTTGGGATTTCAGAGTCCAAAAACAAAGTCACCACTACTCTCACATATTTCCAACATTATGCAAAAAGAAACCCTAAAAAATAGTTTGTAAATAAATGATAGTCTCATGTGTCCCAAAGCAACAGAACAGTAGTCTGATCATTCAGCCCTTATGAACCATTAAAAGAACTGTGATTTTCACTGTAATCTTGAAGAAAATTAATGGAAGGAAAGCAAGAGTTTCTGGGGGATTTCAGTTCAAAGAACAACAGACATCCCCTTGGAAATCAAGAGAAAAAACCCCCAGGCTCCTCAGGAACTATTTCCATAGGAGCAGATCACATTGCAAACCTCATTTCAAGCTTTGATTCCACGTCGACCTGTGTCATTTGCTTCTTTCACTTCTACGTACCTGGGGGTCTTGCTAATGTGTTGTGTCTTCAGGGCTCTTTGCTTCACTCCAGAGAGATGGTCAGGTCTGGCTTAGAGACAGCAAGACCTGTTTTATTAGAAAAAAGTAACATGACACTTGCTGGAATTCTATTACAATCCTAGTACTGTGCACAGGAAATAGTACACTAAAAAAGATTCTACAAAATTAATTTCCAAATATTGTTTTTCTCACCGAACCTTTAGGACATTATAGAATAATTTTAAGATTGTAGGTCCTAGCCAGGCTCGTGGCTCAGCCTGTAGTCCTGCACCATTGGGAGGCTGAGGTGAGTGGATTGCCTGAGCCCGTGGGTTTGAGTACCGCCTGTGCAACTTGGGGAGACCTCATCTCTACAATAAATCAAAAAATTTAGCTGGGCATGGTAGAGAGTGCCTGTAGTTCCAGCTAATTGGAAGGCTGAGGTGGAAGGATCGCCAGAGCCCAGCAGGTCGAGGCTGCGGTGGCCGGGAGCATGCCGCTGCCTTCCAGCCTGGGAGACAGAGTGAGACTCCAACTCAAAACAAAAACAAAAACAAAACAAAAAGATTGTAGGTCCTTAGATCAGCACTAGTGAATCAAAATTAGATGGCAGCCATTGGATTTTTAGGTGTGGCGAACAATATACATGTGTATAATTTTTGGGTTTTTTAGAGCAGGATTTATTGAGATTACCAAAAAGCTCCCACAATAGGAACAACCCAAGGGGGTTGCCAAGCAATAACATTTTATTCCCCAAAATTTCTGGACTTACCACTAATATACTGTGAAGGGCACAGATCATTTCAAAATAGGTAAAACTTCATGAAGCTAAAACTCATTTTTGCAAAGCACAAACTCACAGAAAACCTTCTACAAAAGAACAGGAAATTCTTTCTATGGAAGATAAATTGCTTCTTAAAGTTTTCCTCACTGAGAAATACCAGTTTCCTGTGACTCTCTAACATCACCTTCTTGTACAAAATTAGTAGAGCCAGGTCTAGGCATTCTTATTCTTCTGAGAGAATTCTATGGCCACATCCCTGAATGTCAACAGCCCCTTAAAACACAACAACATATATTTACCAAGTGACCATGGACTCTAGGTAAAAGGAGAGCGCAATGAAAACAGGTCCAAGTCAGACTAGGTGGCTCAGCCTGTAATCCTGTGCTTTGGGAGGCTGAGGTGAGTGGATTGCTTGTGCCCAAATGTTCGAGACCCACCTGGGCAACTTGGCGAGACCTCATCTCTACAATAAATTAAAAAATTAGCTGGGCATGGTAACACGCACCTGTAGTTCCAGCTACTTGGAAGCCTGAGGCGGAAGGATTGCTGGAGCCAGCAGATAGAGGCTGAGGTGGCTGGGAGTGTGCCACTGCATTCCAGTCTGGGTGACAGAGGTTGACTCCAACACACACACACACACACACACAAATGCAGATTCTGATTCAGGCGATGTGGGGTAAACCTAAGTTTCTGCATTTTTATTTATTTCATTTCAGATGGGTCTCAGTTTGCTGCCCATGCTGGGATGCAGTGGCATAATCACAGCTCATTGCAGCCTTGACCTCCTGGCCTAAAAAGATTCACTCTTCTCAGCCTCCTAAATGGCTGGGACAAATTGTTGTCATGTGCATGGCAAACACAAGACAACACAGTGCTGTGATATTATTAACCAAAAATTTGTAAAGTATAATCTGAATCTAATAATGAAGAAACAAATATTTTATGTAGAATTCCAGCTACAAGTATCTTCCATGTTTTGTAACACCCAAAAGTGCATTGATGTTCTCTTTTTTTAGGATCCTAGAGATCAAGACTCTTCTCATTATTTTTTATTCCAAACTTTCTGAGTTATTCGAGGCAGTAACTGCCACACTGCTTAAATGTGCATTTTATTATTTCTGTTCTGCATGGAGCAGATGGAGCATCCAGATGGAACCTTAATAATACTTGTTTCCATGCTTAACTAGACATGAATATGTCTCATCTCCAATAGCAATCTTGGTTATCTGTGTTTTTCCATGTTCCACAACCAAAAGGGAACATGTTTAATAATGCAGGTCATAAATTCATGGTGAGAAATGTACACAGCAGCTATAAAGCCTGAAGAAACAAAGAGAAGGCAGAAGCATGTAGGAAAAAAGAATTTTTCAGGGCACTTGAATATGAGCTAAACTCACAAGGCAGGACAATCACAAGTAGCAGTTGAGATTTGCATGCTCTAAAATCATGACATTCCAGCATGAAGAGAGACAGAACCTTGCCTGGAACACATTTACCTGAGAACAAGCCACTTTTGCCTCTTCCTCCTCCTCCTTCTCTGACATTTCTTTTCGGGGGAGATTATCTGGACATGTCACATCTACATGTTGAAAATATGACTTTAATATCATTTTTACTTTTTTTGAGTTGGCATCTCACTCTGTCGCTCAGGTGTGGCACACTCCCAACCATCGCAGCATCGACTTGCTGGGCTCAGGTGATCCTTATGCCTCAGCCTTCCAAATAGCCAGAACTACTGGCATGTGCTACCACACAGTTAATTTTTTTATTGTAGAGACGGGGTCTCACCATGTTGCCCAGGGTGGTTTCAAACCCACAGGCTCAGGCAGTCCTCTTGCCTCGGACTCCCAAAGTGCTGGGATTATAGGCATGAGCCACTGCACCAGATCGGCCTTTATTTTCTAAAAATTAATTTAAATATATTTTTTGAGTCTGAGTCTCACTCCATAACCCAGGCAGGCTTGAAATGGCTCCATCCAGTGTGTGACAATTTTGACCTTTAGAGCTCAACAGATTTTTCCATTTCAGGATCCCAGGCATCTGAAATTATAGGCATGTTTGACCAATCTCGACTAATTTGTTTCAGCTTTTATAGCTACATGAATGTGATATGTTGTCCAGGTTACCTCAAACTTCTGGACTCAAGAAATCCTCTCCACCCTCATCACTGACGTGGATAAAAACAAACAAAAATACACACACATACACACACACACAAACGACCCAAGTGGGGTCTTTAGGATGCAGGCCCCTCATCTTCTCAGTTTTAATGTTCCTCTAAATTGTCACATCCCCTGCTCCAACTCTTTGGCTGTCCCACCAGGCAGAACCAGGTTTGGACTTGGTGACAAACTGCCAATGACCCTGATGACTTGCCCTAGGAATTTCCACCTGGATATCCCAGATCAGGCGACTGTGGGGCTAACCAGCACCTGCACGTGGTCGGCTTCCCTTTGCCCCTTCCCAAAGCCTTTCCACGCAAGCCTTCCAGATACCTTTGAACAGGAGACCTGACTGGTGGATTAGGGTTTCACGATCCGTTTTTGGTCCAAGGTAATTCCTTAACATTGTGCCAGACCCTCCGCTTAACCTTGGAAGAGGAGAGAGGACCAGGATCACAGTCCCTTCCAGGGCCCCACCATGACACTCCTGGTTCCTGCACATCCAGAGCACGGGATTGCCTGGAGATGCCGCTGGTGGGGCGAGGTCGCCATGGGGACAGCACCCTGGGGACAGGACCAGACCCACCCCATGCAGAGGGAACCAGGGCCGAGACACTGGAGAGGATGAGTCCAGGATCAGAAGTGAGAGGGAGGCTGGTCAGTCACAGCCAGTTCATCCGGGTCCATCCTGCCTCCCGTTCTCATACCCACCCCCATACTCACCACCTCCCAGCTTCTCTGTGTCCCAGCATCCTCCCTACGGACACCCCAGACCTGTATGTCACAGGGCATAAAAGAAAGAAAAAAAGACACGTGGTTTTTCCGAGATCATGCAGAAATTCTGCAGACACATTATACAAAAATCCTGATCAGAGCCCAGAAACTCTCCCTTCACTTTCGGCTCCTTTCTGATTGGGCAGTTTCCGAGCTAGGATCCGCTGATTGGATAAGGGTACAGGCCACCATCCTTCTAATCTAGAGTGACATCAGATGCAATCAAATGGGGCTGGAGGAGGCAAGAAGAAAGAAAAGCATATTTTTGATTGTAGCATTTTGAGGTTGAGTTGCCTCCCTGCCTGGGAATTTGGGGGAGGGGAGGAGCAGGTGTGGCGCACATCGGGGAGCATGACGGGAACTGTGGCACAGAAGTGGCACCTGGTGGCTTGGTCGCTGAGCGGCAGGACTCCATCCCAAGCTGCAGTGGATGCAAAACACTGCAATGTTCCCTGTGAGTGGTGTCAAGGTGCATCTACATCTTTTGCCCTGGAGGAGTCACTTTCACCAGTGACATGTTGGACTAACTGGTCTTTGCCACACTCAAGTATCAAAGAAATAAACCCCCTAAAAAATAATTTAAATAAATGAGAGGGGAGGCAAGAAATATGCCAGACCCCCCACATGCTCCTGTATAAAAGACTGTAGACTGCACCTGTGGGTTCAAGCCCAGTCCAAGCAACTTGGCATGACCTCGTCTCTACAATAATCAAAAAAAGAGCCGGGCTTGGTGAAAGGACAGATCGAAAGTGGGAAGCCATTTTTTATCTTGTTCTGAAACCCTGACACAATGATGAGAAAGTAGAAGCTATGCTTTTGGAGAAATGCACATTTTAGGTATAATTAACTTTACCAACTTTGTCTTCTCAGAAACAGACTTCCAAGTATCTGAGGTATGTCATAGTGGCAATCAAGTTTGCCTAGGGTTAAGGGAATTTACAAGGCCTAAGACATCATACATTGGTCAAGGACTATAGAAGTCATGAAACTTGTAATTACAAAAGTTATGAACCGCCCAGAGGGGGAGCAGGTGGGGACTAAATCTTCCAGTAGAATGGGCCCTATCTACAGGGAAGTCAAGGACCCCTGAAGCTAACCTACTGGGAATGCCTAGGAGATAGGAGGAAATGCACACTCCATTAACTCCAAGGAATGTCATTCAGGAAGTTACAGGAGAATTAGAATCTTTGTCTTGCCCTTCTCTAGGGTCTGTGATAATGTGGGTGAACATTAATGGGTCTCTGTCAAAGGATCTCCAAGACATCCACAGGTGGTTGATATGGAAGTCACGGGTGGTCGTGTGCAGTCACGAACAACATCTTCAAAGAAAGGATTTAAGCTACAAGGCCACACTCACCTAGATTGTAGGCCTACTCTCTGTCTGTGGGGGTGAACTTTTCTTAAATAAATCTTTTCTTCTCTCACCTCTGTGTGTTGCAATTCTTTGCAATTCACTCGGATCTCTGGGTTCTCAGCACACACCTCTGGCTTGCCAGTCCCAGTGGTGCTGTGTGCCTCCCTGCACCTCTCCATGCTCACCCTGTCCACCAGTACCCTAACACTTAGCATCACTCGTCTGTAGTTCCAGCTACTTGGAACACTGAGGCTGAAGGATCCCAGGAGCCCTGCAGGTCAACACTGGGTTGGCCGGGATCATGCTGCTGTACTCCAGCCTGGGTGACAGAATGGCATTGCAACTCAAAAAAAAAAAAAAAGAGGGAGAGAGAGAATATAAAAGACTCATGTTATGCAATCAATGATCCTGGAGCAGATAAGCTTCTAAAATTGGCTGCCAACCACATATTATCTAGACCTCCCAAAGGACATTGTGGGGATCTGAATGATGCCATAACTGAGCCAGATCTTAGGACCCATGTCCATCCAGTAGGATAGACCTGTATATTCACTATTGTAAGACCTCATCTCTATCAGTTTGGAGAGATCTGGACACTGACTATTGTACAAAGACAACACTGTGCACAGCAGGCTGCAGGAGGGGCTGCTGAGAATTCATTTGCTGAAATTATTTTATTTTATTCTTTTGTTCTCTTGAAAGCACAATGAGATAAGAAAAAGGAACTGGATGATTTTCAGTAGCTGCAGACTCAAGAAAAAATGAAGAATCCTGCCTGAACCCGGGGGATTCAGGTCAGTCCAGGCACCTTGGCGCGAGTTTGTCTCTACAATAAAAAATAACAAAATTAGCTGGGTGTGGTACGGTGTGCCTGTAGTTACAGATACTTTGAAGGCTGAGTGGAAGGTTTGGCACTGTCAACCAGCCTGGGTGAAAGAATGAGACTCCAACTCAAAAAAATAAATAAATAAATAAGAGAGAGAGAGAGAGAGAGAGAGAGAGAGAGAGAGAGAGAGAGAGAGAGAGAATCTCTCAGCAGCCAGATGAAAAAAAGAGGACAGACTACTGACTGAGATGCAGTTAAGTCCTATTCTTGCATAGCCAGGGAATCTTTTCCCATATGCAACTCTGGTACCCACTTTAGAGAATCTTTGCACAAAGTGAGGCCACATTTTTAATTTCTTACCATGAAAGAACCCACCAAGTATGGCAGACCTACAGACTTGGCTTCCTGGGGCCACACTTGCCAAATTTTCATCATTTTGATAATCTGGAGCATGTACCAAATCCTGAAATTATGGCCCTAGGACTGTGCACTTGGCCTCAGACTTCTGCCTTATTGGAGGTCAAGTAATGGACACTCGTGGCATGGAAGTTCAGCCATCACTGCCTCCTTGAGTGGATATGGTTGATGCCTGGTCTGTGGGTTTCTGGTCACCCTCATCAATATCCTGGTTGCTCTGCAAGCGTGGTGACATCATTGGTTTGGCCCTGCTGGGCATGAGTGAGCCCCAGGTACCCACACACCATTCCAAGGGTTCTCACCCTGACTTGTACCAAATTCTAGTTTTGGCCAGGGCCACAGTTTCCCTGTACGATCATCCTAGGTGTCCCTAAATCACATTTTCTCCCAGAAGTCAGACTGAGGCCAGTGTTAAGACTTGGGCCCTGTAAGAAAGACACTGTCACACAGATTGACCTGCATGAGGACCAAGACATGCTGCTGGCTGGCTAAGGTTTTGTGGATGCCACAGTCACCCTCTCATCCAGCGGCTTCCAAGTGTCCAGCTTCCTTGTTGACATTAATTTCACAGACTGAGGAGCTATGTGGAGCTTTGGAGCAGATTGATGGGTGCTGCCATGAGTTTTTCTGGGCCATGTGGGTCACTTTCCCATAAGAAAGTTAATATGCAGCTGTCACCATAAGAAAGAGGGGTATCTCAGATTTAGTGGCCTGGACAGGTCCTGGTGTTGGAGCTACAGTGGGGTATCAGGGTGAGGCGGTCCTGTGGTACTAACCTCAAAGGGAAGATCTAGAAAAGACAGGAACCCAACATCCTTGTTCAAAACTATATCATGGAAAACATTGGCTTATGCTCTCCAGATGCGTGGGGAGTTTGAGAACAAATTTAAGAAGGAAATCACCAAACAACCATGGTCAGTTCTGAGCCAGGAGTATGCTGGCCACACCTGAGCCTCCAGGCCCCTGGAAAGCAGAATACTTCCCTGCAATCTATTGAAGCCCCAACCTGAAGTTGTACCTCAACTTTGGGATCACACCAGAAAGGAGACATTGGGGGAGGACTCCTGATTGACGGGTGCTACCACATGGCTTTTTTGGGGGGTTGGAGTCTCTCAGTCAACCAGGCTGGAGTACAGTGGCATGCTTTTGACTACTGCAGCCCTGGCCTTCTAGGATCAGCTGATCCTTCCACCTCAGCCCTTCAAATAGCTGGAATTACAGGCTCATGTCATCATGTCCAGCTAATTTTTTATTTATTGTAGAGAAGAGCTTTCACCACATTGCCCAGGCTGGTCTCCAGCCCGTGGACTCAGGCAATTCTCTCAGCACAACCAACAAATGTGCGGGATTATAGGTGTGAGACACTGCACCCAGACTGCTCTGTTGTTTCTAGAGCTGAGCTGGTGGGCTGGGAAGAGCCAGGCTATCAACTTTGATCAGCTTCCTCACTGAGCTCATCTGGCCCTCACAGAGTGGCCCCATAGACCCTGGTCCCTGGAATTCTTGGGTTTTCTATATGGCACCCTGGTCTAACACTAAAGACACCCATTCAGGAAATTGATCACAGAGCTAAGGGTGTGTGCAATCTGGGACGTGGTTGCTGTTGGAACAACTCAGGCTTCTCCAGTGATGGGTGTGCTAAGTTTCGGTCTGGCTTGGGGCTCCCTGCATTATGCCCTCAACCCAGAGCTACTCTACCTCATCTTCAGTCCTAGTAAAGAACTCTGGTGGGAGAGGTCTTCACTGTTACCCAAGCTCCTATGCCACTGTAACATGGAATTGTCTCCACTATGGGGTGATTCTCCCAGGCATTGAATTCCCCTTCCCTCCAGTGTTGTGACTTCACACCATGGGAGGACTGAATGTTGCCACAGTCAACTGAAGTCTGATTTCTGGGTCTGGGTTGTGGTCCCAACTGGGCCTCTCCCAAATTCTGCCTGGGTCTGGGACATTAATTTTTTTTTTTTTTTTTTTGAGTTGGAGTCTCACTCTGTCGCC